GAGAATCTTCTTTCTGAAGCTTTTCTACATTCACCTCAAACCACAGAAAAAATGTGTTTGGATTGGTTAAAAACTATGGTTACCTAGTAAAGAAGGCAGGCCTCTATGACCAAGGAAACCATGCAGCTTTGGAATTGATAAAAGGGGAAAATGCACCTTCCCAGGTAGAAAGCAAAGAGAACCTTCCAGGGATAACAACTGCTATGGCAGAACTTCCTTACATTAACCCAAAATATTTCTCTTACCCCCGGAATTTACAGGATTCACCTGTATTGCTCAAACTCACAGCCATCTTTTTCTATGAATTTTTCTTTGATAATGTCATTTACATAGATTTTTTTTACCTCCCTCACCAGTCTAGACAAGATCTTAATAAAGAGAAAAAATGTTGTCTCTTATATATTTTTAAAAATCCTCACCCCAGGATATGTTCCATTGATTTGAGAGAGAGAGAGAGAAAGAGAGGGAGAAACATCAATGTGAGAGAGAAACAGCGATTGGCTGCCTCGCGTAGCCCCTGGCTTCCCCTCCCGAGTGGGAGTCCAACCCACAACCTTTTTGGTGTACTAGATGATGCTTCCACCAACTGAGTCACCCAACCAGCGCTTCTGTTTTTTTAATTCTGTAATAGTATTTTTTTAATTCTGTAATAGTATTTACGACAGCTAGCCCAAATTATTTTTAATCCTTAATAAAAACCAGTGGAAGGTCATGTAGGTAAATGGTAGGTGGATGAACAATGGATGAATGATAAGCTTTGCGGGGTGGGCTCAAAAAGAGATTTTTAAAATCTATTATCTGTAACTAATATTAAACTGCACTCTATAATTAAAGCTCAAATTGTTTAGACAGCGCCTCTAAGTTGAATGCCAGCATAATGTATAGGTTCCCTCAATGACAGGTCACACAGGCTCCTGGGTAATGTAGGAAAACCCACCAGTAAGATGAATACATGCTCTCTGACTATAGAAACATGGAAGAACCTCACTGACTTTAACTGTGTCATATAATGCACATTAGCTTTATGATCTGTCTTGGATGTAAATAAAATCCACAATATATTTCCCAAGAAACTAAGCGAGATTTGAATTAAGAATTCTTAGAGAGAAAAAAAACAAAAAACCAAGTTATAGCAAAATGGGGAAACCTGAAATTTTTAAAATATAAGAAAGTTCTGATGAATAACTAAAACCTTAAGGACTTATCTTGCCACTATTTCACAACAACAAGCCTGAAGGAAAACAATACATCAGAGCTTTGCTTCTTTCACCAGAGAGAAGATACTGATCCCAAACTTGGGTCTCCAGCTGGGCCTGGAATGCAGGTGAAAAGCAAAAGTGGACATTCCTGGGAGTAGCTGTGCGGGACCCATTCGAGACCATGGAGCCCTTCTAGCAAATCTCAAATTACACCTTTTCCTGTATCTTTTGGATTTCTTTTGCTTAATCTTTTTTTAGTTTATCCTTATTGTTGAAAGTATTACAGATGTCCCCATTTTTGCCCCCATTGACCCTCTCCACCACCCCCTGCCCCCTCCCCAGGCCTTCCCCACACTATCGTCTGTCTATGGGTTATGCATATATGCATATAAATTCTTTGGTTAATCTCTTCCTGCCACCTCCCCTTCCCTCTGAAATTCATCAGTCTGTTGCATGCTTCAATATCTCTGGATCTATTTTGTTTGTCAGTTTATTTTGTTCATTAGATTCCACATATAATTGAGATCATGTGATATTTGTCCTTCTCTGACCGGCTTATTTCGCTTAGCATAATATTCTACCAGAAGTGGAAATCTCTTCACTGGAAAATTATTTTCCATCAGAAGCAGTCCTTATTCAGCATTTCATTTCTCAAAATTCCCGTGGGTAATATAAATGCTGATGATTCCTAAATCTCATTTATTTATGAAACCAACAAATATTCATTGAGTGCCCAGTAAGTGTCAGTACTGTCCAAGCTGTTAAAGATATACTTGTAGTCCTGTCCTACAGAGATCATTATCAATTATGGAAAAGAGAAAGTCTAACAAACATGTACAAGTGAGGAAAATAGTATAGTAAGAAAATTATAGAACGCTATGGGAGCAGACAGAGAGAGGAGGCCTAATGTAGGTTGCTGTCTAAGTAAGACCACCTGGAAGAAGGGCTATTGGAACTCAAATCTGACTTATGAAGAGGAAGGAGCCTGATGGGATTGGGTGGGAGGAAGACTGAGAGCATGGAGACAGAGTATTCTGGGCAGAGAGACAACATATGCAAAGGCTTAAAGAGAGAGCCAGCATCTGTGATGTTAACCAGGACTGAAAAGAAGTCCTCTAGTGGAAGCCAGGGAGGGTGGGGAAGTAAGAGACTCCGGTCGGGAGACTCTCACAAGCCTGGAAATGAATTTACACTTTATCCCAGGGGTAAGGATTTTAAACAGCACGCATTTTTATGGCTGATAAACTTGAATCTGCTCTTGTAAGACTTGGCACCCACTCTCGTGTGCTGTACCACATTCTAAGCACGTAAAATGAGGTGTGAAAGAAGGCGGATGAGAGTCTGGACTTGACTTTTCTCAAGGAAATCCGGGTAATGCTGTTCAAAGCAGAGAGGCATCTCGAAAAAGGAGGTATGCCATGAGTCACGCTGACTGCCAGCCATAACCACCAAACATGCTAAGAGAAGAGAGGAAGAGCTGGTCTCCCCGGGCGCGGTTAGGAGGCAGCAGAGAGAGCCAAAGGGGTCCCGGGAGGTCACTTGTGCTTTCTCATGAAAATTATCCTCAATCTCATCGCTAGAGATGTTCTCTCAGGGCCCTACTGAAGGCAGAAAACAAGGGGATCTAATCATGTCATTTATCCTGGCCCCTGCGTGCAGGCAGGTTGGCAGATGGCAGCGGTCCTGGGCTGAGGCTATTCCTCTCTGGCACAGTCACAGAATTAAGGAGTTGGAAGGGTCCTGACTACCTACCACCAGTTTAACTGGGTAATTCCATGGCCAGGTAACAGCACGTTTCTTCTCCGTTCAATGTTACTGATCTAGCTCTGCTCAAGTGCAGGATCTGCCCCTGAATATTGCCGTGTGCATGTGCCGGTGAGGACAGGCGTGCCTGGGGGCGGCTGATGCTGTCCCCTTTTCTTCTCTCTAACCTGGCCTCGGTCAACACTGCTGCTCCCTGTGGAAGCATCAGATTCCTGACGCCCAAAATAGTAATTCATTGCTCCTCCAAGAGAAGCTTAAGCCAAATGAGCTGATGAAGCCAAATAACCAGATCTGTAACTATGTGCTGCTCAGAGGGGGCTTCCTTTCAACTCCATCAAGTCAAGCGCAGCACCCAGAACATAGCTGCTGCATAACTGGATCGAATGAGAGAATGAATGTCGTGTTTCTCTCTGAGCTTTGTTATTTCCCACCGACACGCCATCCTCCATCAGCACCCAATCCTTCCAACACCCTCTGGAAATCCCTGGGGAGCTATCAAAAGTTAAATCAGTAAACCCTCTCATTCTGTAAAAGATGCAGACTCTCACTCCCCACAGATAACCAAAAGCAAGAACCTAAGAGGTTGACATTTATATTAACCTTAATTCTTAAGAAGGAATGTATTTGGGTAGGAAAAGTGCCTTAGGATAGAAGGTGAGACCCCAGCTCCAGGTTGCCTCGATTTGCCTAAAGCCTTCCATGCTAGTCAAGGTGACACGAGTATCCAGGAGGGCAGGAGAGAGAGAAAAGGAGAGATGGTGGGAGACTGCACGGTCTTCCAGGTGATTCTTTCCTCTGAATCTCCCAAATATTTAATCAAGTTGTTAAAACTCACAAAAGGCTTGAGGAAAGATATTTCTATAGAACTTTATGAAGAATTTGATAGCATGTTTTGCATAGAGTGAAACCAAAGCAATAAGCTTGGGGACGGGGGGGTGGGGGTGGGGGTGCAGAGAGAACAATAGGAGAGAGAGGATTCCAGGTCCCTAGAATTGGATTTGGGTCCAGTTTAACCAAATCTTTACAGAGCAGGTGCCAGTGTACTAGTGCCCAGGGAATGTCAATTTATCAACCAAAAATTTTGCCCACAAACTATACATAGCACTTATGTTTCATTTATAAAGTTACATGCTCTAATACTCTGTGGCCCAAGCTATGGGCACACACAAGTTACTTTAAAAGAATGGTGTCATATGAAAAGAATTTTCCTGGCTTATGAGTAATTCCCTTAACTGATCAAAAGACACCCATTGCTGATCTTCACGTTACCCCCAAAACAACCTCAAGCTCTGCTGAGATCAGCAGCTGGCCACTCGGAGGTTTGTGGAGAGAGTTCCTGTGTGAAAAGTCTCTACTGGTTCAATCTTCAACAACATCATGCTTTTCAAAATGTTTCAAACCAGGAAAGATCAGCACACCTTCTAACAGTAACTTTATCCCTAACCCTGCCCAACAGAAAACTAGCCTGTGAGGCAGACCACAAAAGTGCACTGCCTCTAAGTGATTAGACAACTCTCTTATCAAGTGTTATCCAAGCATCAGTAGTTTAAGGCCATCACTGCACATGCCAAGGACCCAGAGACAGCTATGGGAGAAATGGAAAGAGCTTCTGTGGACTGAGTCAACTGACACCCCTAACAGGTCTGAAAGCTGAGTCTCCTTTTCTGCAGAGACCATAACAATGTCAATTTCCCATATCCAGTGCTGTCCACGGAAATCCTGAAATGATGAGAATCTCTCGTGGAATAGTGACATCAATAGACACCAAAAGCCTCCCTTAGTAGAGACAGAGCACTTGGACACCCTTCTCCAACCAAAGATCAGTCAGTCAAGCAGGACGGCTTTCTCTCCCATGAAATGCGGTAGAACGACCTATGGATGTTCTGGACTAGAAACAGTTTCTAGAACTTGCTTATTTGCTCTGTTCCAAGGCCCAGAAATAAAAATTAACCTTCCCACGGGGACCGTCTGCCCGACAGGGACCCTGAAGGCACCGCTGGTTGGAGAGGCGGGGACGGAGGGAGGGCGCCGACTCACCATTTGATTGCTGTACCAGTATAGCGCCGACGCCTTCAGCACCACCCAGAACTTTTTCCATTTGGTGCTTAGGAAGGTCCCCTTTTCCTTCTTCTTGTAAAGCCACCCCTGGCAGTCGGCGTGCCCCAGGTCCTTACAGGAGATCCTCCTCCGGCTCATGGCGAAAAAGCCTGCGACAACGACGGGAGAAGGTGGTCACGCGTCGCCCCGGTGCATGTGACAGGGTGAAGGGTAGCTTTTCATTTTTACCCCCAGGAGTTGCTTTTATTTTGCAACCAAGATTTATGCAAAGTGAATGCAAAAATATATATATATATTTTATTTTTAAACAGTCATTTGGTGCTTAGAGGGTACAAGACATGACCAAAGAAACAGTGAGACCAACATGCAAGTGTTAGTCTAAGACTGTCACCCAAGAATTAAGTGGAAAAATTAAAGTCCTGAGGCTGCCGGGCGCATCGCCCCACCGACAGCTCCCGGCAGCAGTGACAGCACTGGTTATGCGAGACGGGGAAGGGTTAATGCCACCAGAAACCCAGCCACTTCCCCGGCAGTGCCAGGCTTGCTCAGCGCCAGGGACGCGGCACGGGGATTCGCCCGGGCGAGCAGCGCCTGCGACCCAGCCGGAAAGAACCAAGAATGAACCTGCCGTCCACCCCGACAGCAGCGGCCAGACGGGCACGGAGCTGGTCCCCAAGAAGGCGCCCCGGAGAAAAGCCCACTCCCCCGCGCAGGAAGGGGGCACATAGACAAAGGAGATCTAATTACCTGGAGCTTGCTTTCTCGGCTTCTGACGCAAGGGAACCTGCTGAAAGCGCAGGAAGAAAAGAAAAGAGGAAATTTCTGATTGTGTTGTAACATTTGTAAAGCGACAAGGAGGGAGGAGGTGGCGGTGTTTATGAGCAGGATGAAGCTAAAAAAAACTCCCAGCACAGCCGAGGGGAGCTGAAGCTGAGGCACAAAATGTGCTAATTAGAATCAATAGACATAGAGATGAACCTGAAAAAAAGGTAACACAACATTTTCACTGATGTTTCCTGTTTCCACCCACAGGCAGTCTTCTCACTACTTCGGTTATGACAGGACACTGCTCAGCCAAGTTCTTAAAAAAATAAAATATTTCCCTTTTATTTTTTTTGTGAGAGAAGGAAAATATATATATCCTGCTTGTTTTCCTGCAATTTCTAAATAACGATTATTTAAACAAACCTGGAAGATAATCATTGCAACCTCACAATACCCCAGGTTCACATCAGACCAATAAATTCATGGTCCGGCTACCACACAGGGTTCCAGCTAAACCACAGGAATTAAATATCCCAGAAAAAGAAATTCCAGTCTGTTTGGGTGACCTCTAAGCAGCCATCAAGCCTCCTCATCAGGAAAGTTCTGCTTACAGCCAAATTAAATTGCTTATTCGGTCTTACGTATCTGGGAATATTTCTCACAGGTTTTATAAAAGATAAATTAGCGATTTCTATTTTACAATAGCTTTGCAAATATTCAAATCAGACATAAGAAAAAATATCTGAAATACTCATTTTTTCATGATACATTTTAAACAATTCGTGTAAAATCAGACTATCAGTAAAAATAGAGAACAAAATGTTTTTGAATGGCCTTCTTGGCATGTGTGGGGGTGTGTAGAAGAGAGACATTTTAGATTAGGGAAGTTTCATTTTTTTCTCCACAATATCTAAGCTGAATTTACTCAGGCTTAAGTGACAGATTTTTATGCTAACAAATAGAGAACTTGAAAAAATTGTACATAATTGAAAAGCAGTTCTAAAAGTTGGTAGGCAATCTTATTACAACATTTTATAACATTACTCCAGATGCACCCGGCTAGTATTCTACATATCTAACTATTGACCCAATAGCTGTTGTATATGGTTCTACTATACATTCAAGGGAGGAATACTATAATATAGTGGAATTAGGATGGGATTTTTCAATCCAGGGGCCTGAAATCAATTCATGGCTGTCATAATTAGTAGCTGTGCTACCCAGACACAAGCTCACTTACCACTCAGAACTCACTTCCACATTTGTAAAATCAAGATATTCATAATTCCAGTACTAAAGGCTTCAAAAATATTTAACAAGACAGTATGTGAAAATATTCTGAAAACTAAAAAACATTACTTTATATGATTACATGTACTATAACATTATATGATTACAGATATAAATACTTCATATCTAATAAACAGAAATTTCATAATAAATTTTAGGATACGTAGAATTTGTATTTCTTTCAGCAACAATGATGAAGTTAAAAGGCTTAAATTATATTTCCTGGGAAATCCCAAACTGACTTTTTATTTTACAAATGTTAGAATAAAAATTTATCCCCAAAGAAATTAATCATCCTTGTGAATAAAATACTTAACAAAGGCAATAACTGTCCCAAATTCAGGCAAGAATAGTCTTAGTCTCAGCTCCACTTTACAGGATCTCTCCCTCACTGACCTGCATCTTGGTCTAAAATCCCCACCATTCCCTCAAACAGCTCCTGGGCCTGTTTTATATGCAGTTATCTGAGATCAGTAAACCAACAGTACCTATTAACAAAATATTTTAACCCAAACATATAGATTATTGGGATAGCCAAAGCTTATCTGAGAGCCAGAACTAAAGGCAAGGAAGAGAGTAAGTAAATTTAGATAGTGGGAGTGACTTGAGAAAACTGGGGTGCAGAATTTTCTCACCCCAAGGGAGTACCCAAGACAAACTAAAACCAGGGCAATAGGGAGAAAAGGGAGTTGGTTTTATAGAGACATTCCTAGAGGGTTCTGGCCCCAGACGGACAAGATGAAATCGCATTATAAATAGAGCTCTTGGAATAAAAGCAGCTTTAAAAAGAATGAGAGACAGAGAAAGAAAGTTGTGAGAGGACCGCTGCAGGATCTGTGAAGGGAACCTGTGAATCTCCTCCACCCACCACTCATGAACTCCTTGGGGCTGGTTCTAGAGACAGCCCCAAATCAAACTGTAGCCTTTGTCTTAATCTTGCCCAAGACCAGCCCTTGGTCTACTCCAGATTCTTGTGCCTAGGCTGGATAAGAAGTGGGACCACTAAGCAGAAGGGTAATACCTAAAACAGGGTGATCACCCAACATCAAGAAAGGACTTTATTCAGACTTTTTAAAAGGGGGGCAGGGGGGTTGAGTCACTGAGTCAACTCTCCTCTGATAGCACTTCTCTTAAACCAAATCATTTCACAATCTGCATAACTGTTGAAACAATTTCCCCCACCAGAAAGACACTGCATGGTACAGAAATAACAAATTACAGGGAGGTTCAGTTTCCCTTGGTATGTATGAATTTCAAACCTATATTGGTTGACATCAGAGAATGAAAACAATCTTAAGAACTTTGGCGAGTTTAAGACACATCTCACTCCTCACAACAGGAAGTGGAACTGGTGAACTAGTCAGTTTCAAAAAGGCCCTACATGTGGTTTTTCTCTAGGTGAGTGAAAAAAACACAAGCAACCGGTTGAGCATTTATGAGGCAGTTTCAACAGGGGAATTGTAACTCTTTCTCATAACAATAATCCAGAGCCTAGTTAGTAAGATATTTTCTCATACTGTTTTCTTCCCCTTGGTAAAACTAAAAATGACTCTAAATTACAAATTTGCCCTCACTTGCTTCTAAAATTGGTGGGAAATTTTACTTTTAAATACATTTTTTCTTTTGATTGTAATAGAGCACTTTTCTTTTACTTTCTAAGATGGCTAAAAAAAATCATTTGGTCACTAATTACTCAAAAACACAAACATACAAAGAAACCAGTACAAAATAAACAAAAGGACCTCCTTTGATGTTGGATGATGGCACTGACACCCAGATCACAGGGTGTAATTATTACATTGACTTTTAATCTCAATAGTAATTGTTAAACCTTGCAGGCACAATTTACCCTCTTGCTATATCAAAATCCACAGTAAGATAGTTCGTCATTGCATCAGACTTCATGATGATCCTGGTCTTTAGCCAAATGACACAGTGATATGCTGCCGAATGGGCCCTGATTTGTAGCATTTACCCAATTGCCATGGATAAAACCTCACACTGTTGTCCATTTCAAGGTACCAATACTTAACCAAGCCATAAAATTTCCTAAGTATTTTAGAGCCAGGCCAATACCAGTTGATACAGCTGTTAGGGATGTTTCTCCACAAACAACTGCCCCCCACACACACACACATACATCTTTACTCCTTTCTAGAAAATTAAACTCAATTTTTAAAGAAAATTTTAAAGCTTTTAATTATTAAAATTTTGATTATTAAACTACATGAAAAACTTGCTTAATTTTTTCAGAAACTACCTACCTTAAATATTACTTAATAAATTAATATTTTTTTAAATCTCTAGTAGTGAAATGGAGATAAATAATAGATATTCCAGTAATAATAGATAGTAATCGAAAACAACAGGAAAGAAATATGTATAAAGCTTGTACTCGTATAATGTTTCCCACACGCCAGGCACTGCCCTGAGCCTTTTCACAAATTCTGGGGCTGAATTCTCACATTTGTTGCTTAGGTGCTATTTTTAGTCCCATTTTACAGAAGAGGAAAATAAAGCAAATGAAGTCTTAGTGTGTTGCCCAAAGTCACAAAATTCAGTGGCAAACCACAAATATTTATTTTGAGAATCAGACTCCCAGAGCAGGAGCCTGAGAAGGTATTTGCTGTTGTGGTCAACGTGATTTAAAGGAGCAGGACGCGGAAGCAAGGTCCAGAGTTCAAGGGGAAGCTGGATGCAACGGCACTTTCTACAAAGAAGAGAAACAGAAGAAATTAAAGGACTGAGAGGAAGAAAGAGGAAGGAGAGCGGGAGCTGGAGGGGAGGGGCGAAGGAGGGAGGGGCCCAGGGAGAGGAAGGTGAGGAGGGGGCGTTACAACGGGGACAGTGAGCGAGAGCAGTGTGCCAGGGAACATCTTGAGTTTCTAGCTTAAACGAGTAAATAAATGACCACACTATAGAGAGCACAGTTTTAAATATATATATTTGCTCAGTAGTAAGCATATTGAGTTTGATGTACATATGAAGCACACAAGTGGAAATAGTACATACAGTAGTTAAGGGTCTAGGGATTTGGAGAAAATCTGGACTAAAGATATAAAATTGGGAATCATCAGCATGCAGAGAGTAAAAGTCTTGAGTTTGGATAAGATCACCCAGATGTGTAGAGTGGCAAAAGACAGAAGTCAGAATCCAAGGGAAGATCAGTATGTTGCACAGAAGCAGTAAAAGAGGTGATTCCAAGGAGACTTAGCAGAACAGCCAGCGAAATACAGAAAATCCAGAAAAGGGTTGTCCTGGGAATGAGGGAGAGACTCAAGAGAAAGATGGGTCCAAACCATCCAATGCTGCCAGGATGAAAGAGAAAGGCAAAGGCAAAGTTCAGCAGAGATCTTGGCAAAAGTAGCTTCTTTGTCAAGTCGGGCTAGAAGACCAATTCCAGTGGGTTGGGAATGAATCGGAATTGCAGACATGAACACTGCATGGAAGATTGTCCTGCCAAAAATCTTAACATCCAGGCTTTAAAAAAGTGATTTCAAATAAAATAAAGTTATCTTTGAATTTTTTATTCTATATTCTGTCTTTCTTAGCATTTTGCAAATGTTTTAAAATTTAAAGTTGCAGAATTGTGAATGGAAGGGCTCTCTCTCTTTCTCTCTCTCTCCCCC